ATTGTATTTTTATCCGTAAAAATATAAAAAAAAATGTAAAAAAATAATAAATAAAAATTTATATTTTTTATTTATTTATTTTTTTAAAAAAAAATATTAATTTTATTCATTTTATATTAATATTTTAAATATTTAAAATTTATTTATAATATGTTTTCTTATATAATTTCAAATAATATATTAATTCAGCCGAAAAATTTTAAAAAATTATATTTTCTCTCTTTATTTATTTAGTATGTTTTTTTTTTTTTAAAAAAATAAATAAAATAAAATAAAAAAAATATAATAAAATATAATATAATATAAATTTAAATAGTAAATGACTTCAAATATAATAATATAATATTAAGATAAAATTAATACATGAAAAAAATAAAAAATATCAATGAATTTTCATAAGTAATTCATATAAAATTTTTTTTATTTTTATATAATTGAATACATGCATTAATATTTATATTTTATATATAATAAATATATCAAATATATAATTTTTATATTAATAATTAACATCTTTTATTATTTTTTATATTAATTTATATTTTTTATTTATTAAATAGATATTTCATTTTTTTTTTTTTCACATTTAGTTTTTATATATTTTATATAATAAATATAATATTAATAAATTATATATAATAAAATAATAAAATTAATATTTTAAAACATATATAAAAATTAAATAGCTTTATATATATATTAATTTTTAAAACATTTATTTATATTTAATCAGATTTTTTATTTAATTTTTAATAACAAAATACAATTTCTCAATTTTAATGATTTAATTTTTAAAAATAACTAAATAAAATATTTAATAACACATTCAATTTAAAAAAATATAATTATTAAATATAAAAATATATTATTAAATTAACATTTATTTTTTGTTAAAGATATTAATATGATATCAAAAATTTTTTTTTAAATAAAAATTAAAATTTTACTTATCAAAAAATAATTTTAAATAATATCAAATTCAACTTTTTTATTTTGTTTCTTATTTTTAAAAATCTATTATCATATATTTTTATTTATTTATAATTTTATTATGATAAATTTTGAAAATTATTATTATAAAAAAATTTGTATAATTTTTAATTATTAATTAATATTTTGTAAAAAAATATAACTCTGTAATATATAAAAAATTTATCATATATTAAAATTTAATTTAAAATATAAAACACAAAGAAAATAAAAATAAATAAATGTATTTCAATTAATATAAGAAATAATTTTTATATCATAAAAATAAATATATAATTATATATATAAATTATAATAAAAATTTTTTATTAACATATTAGTTTTATAAATTATAAAATTTTATAATAATTTAAAAAATAATTAAATTATTAAATATAGAGCATTTATCCAATATTAATTATATTTTTATGTGAATTTTATAAAATATATATAAAATAATTTAAAATTATATTTAATATTATAATTATATCTATATTTATTTAATTTAACATAATTTTATGATTAATAAAGATATATAAATATATATTAAAAAATAATTTTAATTTATAGAAATAAATAAATTATATAATAATAATTAAAATTCGTCATAACATATTCATTTAATATAAAAAAATAAAATAAAATATTATTTTGTTTTATTTTATATAAAAAATAAAAATATTCTTATAAATTATTTTTTTACTAAACTAATAATAAATACTTTGATATAAAATAATTAATTTTTAAATTTATTTTTATAATTATAATAATATTAATTATTATATATATATATAAAAAAAAAAATTATATATTTCTTAAATAGAAGAGATAATAAATTTATTATAAAAATCATATAATATAATAAAAATTTAAAATTATAAAACATCTTTATAAATAAACAATTTAAATCAATTAAAAAAATAAAATAAAAAAAGATAAAATATAAATATGAATTGTATTACCTAAACTTCCGAAATAGATATATAATAATAACAAAAGTAATAATAACTTTAAAGATAATAATAAGTAAATTTTTACATATTTTTAAAAAATGAAAATCTTTAATTAATCTTTTTTTGTTTTTTTTTTTTTTTAAAAAAGGGCTTTTCATCTAATATTATTATTTCTTAACCATAAACTTCTTAAAAATGTATTTAAAAAAATATTATTACTATACTTAAATAATACAAATATATATTTTTTATATTATTTTATTCATTTTTTATATTAAAAGCATAATATGATGAATAATTAAATTATTATTAATAGGAAGCTTGTAGGCTTTACATTGCTAATATAGTATTAACAAATTAAGTAAAATAAATAAAATAATAATAATTTAATTTTTAAAAATTTATATATACAAAAAGGTTAAAGAATTAATATAAGATAAAAATGAGCTTTTATAAAAATATTAAAAATTAGAGGTATTTTTTTTTTTTAACTTTTTAAACAAAACAAAAAAATAAAAAATTAATAATTTTTAACTTTTAATTAATATAATTTTATTTCTTTTATTTTATTAGAAAAGGTAATTAGATACATAATTAAGTTTAGCAGAAGAAAGAAAAAAAAGAAATAGAAGAACTGCTCACGAAATAGAAAGACATTATAAATGTCCTTAATAATAATGCTAAAAATCATATGGTTCTGAAGGTTCATTAGCTTAACATATTAAACTTAAACATCCTGAATTTTACTAAAGTATATCAATGAATGTTTCCTAAAATATAAGTTCAGGATAAAATATTAAATAGTAAAATGGATAAAATTATTAATCTTCTGAATGTTCTGATTCTTACATAGAAGAAAACTAATCTTCTACATCATCTAAATGTATTTTTTTTTTTTTAGTTTATTAAATATTTATATATTATTAGAAAATAACGAAAAAAATATGATTAATGACAATAATAGTGATATAAGTATTGATTAAAATGAGAACAAAATCCAAGATTGATAAAAAAATAATATTTAAATGAAAAATAAATATATTAATATAATATATAGATTAACAAAAAAAAAAAAAAAAAAAAAAAAAAAAAAAATAGTAAATATTTTATTAATATTAAAATTATTTATATTTGCATTAAAAAAAATTTTATATTTTTCGCCATGATACTATTAATATAAAATAATTATAAATATATAATATATTAATGAAAAAAAAAAAAAATCCTATTTTTTATTTATTTATTATTAAAAATAAATTTATTGTCACAACTGATTTTTATAATATATTTAAAAAATAAAAAAAAATACAAAAATTATATTTTTACTAAAATTAAATAGTATTTTTAAGATATAAAAATAAATAAATGATATAAGAAGATAATATTAGTAATAATCAATAAGATTTTAATTATAATATAGCCCTAGAAAACGATTAACCTAAAGCTATTTCAAACCAATAAAAAGCTAATTTAATATCGACAATAGATGAGCCAATAAAAGAAACAATAGTAAATAAAATATATATATAAATGTAATAATAATAATACTAATAATAATAATAATAGATGAGAGATTTAAGAATGATTGCTCTTAAATTAAAATATGTAATATTACCAAGAAATGATCAGGATAAAATAAAATAATTAAGAAATTGTAAAAATAATTAATTTTAACTTAAAATAATCAAATAAAAAAAAGGGGATTTATGGGGACCTTTAGTTTTATGTTTAGCACTAGCAATGTAATTTTTTTTATTTTTTTTAAAAAAAGCAAAAAGTTATATAAGTTTTTTAAGATGAAATAAAAAAAACTTTATGATTAATAAAAATTATGTTTAAATTAAAATAATAATTAAAAAAAAAAGCACTTTATGTATAAAAACTGAAGAAAGATCAGAATATGTTTTCGTTACAATTTTTGTAGTTATTTGGATAGGAGCAGGTTTTGTAACTTTAAATACAAAATTACTAGGAGGAAAAATGTTAATTTTTTATTTTAAAAATAAAATATATATATATTTTATAATTTTTTTTTTTTTTTTTTTAGATCTTTTTTTTAATCTGTATGTATATTAGGTTATTGTGTATTTCCTATTAATATATCCTCTTTTATTTCACTTTTCTTATTTAAAGAGTATATTGCATTATTTATTATAAAAGTGATTTTACTTATTGCTAGTTTTATTTGGGCTACTAGAGGTTACATTTTTTAGAATTTTTTTTTTTTTTATAATTTTATATATAGCATCTATTCCATTTATGGTAGCTTTAGTAAGTGAAGAAAAAAAACTTCTTGCAGTTTATCCTGTCTGTTTATATTATTTGTTTTTAAGCTGGTTTGCTCTTGTAGCATGAAAATATATAAATAATAAAAATTAAATGAATATATAATTATATAAAAAAATATATTTTTCTTATTAAATATTTTATTTTTCAGAATAGAAAATTATAAAAAAAATAATAAAAAATTAATTTTATTCCCTTTTTTTTTTATTAAAAAAATTTATATTTTTTTTTTTTTTTTTTGTTAAAAAAAAAATATAAACTATAACAAAACTTTTATTAATTTATTTACACAAATATTTTTTTTTTTTTTTAAGTTAAATAAATGAAATAAAGAAATTTATTTATATTTTTCTAGTTAAAGGTTGTATTATAGTAAATGTCCTTTCCGAAAAATTTTATATAATTAAAGTAATTAAATTAATAATAATTTAATAAAAAATTCAAACAAATTTACGAACATCATTTAAAATTTCATCTATAAATTAATTTAATTTAATCTTTTATTATAAAAATAATAAAAAAAATTAATTACTTTTTATTAAAAAAAAAAAAAAAAATTATATATATAAGTATAATAAATAAAATACATATCCATTATTTTATAATTGTTTTATTAACTAGTTAACTTTTTATTCATTTAATAAAGTACAATTAACAATTCCCTCTAAAATTTCAACACTTATTTATTCATCACTATTAAACTATTATAAAAAATTAAATAAAAAGAAAGAAAAAATATTATGCATACATCAATAAGTTATTAAAATGCACTAACAAAATAATTTCTCATTTTAACTTTTTAAATCTATATAGAAAATTAAAGAAAACCTAAAATAAATATATAATCACATATATTATAATTCTATATATAAAAGATATAAAATATATAAATATAAAATTTTATTAATATAATTATTTCAAATATAAAAAAATATAAAATTAATAAATAAATATATATAAATATAAATAAATATATATATATATATATATATTTATATTTTTGAATTACTATATTTTTATTTTTTATTTTTATTAATTTATATTTTTATATTTTTTAATTTTTTGTTTATTTATATATAATAAATATACTATTTAATTCCAATTTATCATCATTTGTTAATTTTTATGCTACAAAAATTTCATTTACAATTTCTTATGCTTTAATTTCTTCTCCACACATTTATTTATAACCTAAAAAACATAAAAAATTCTAAAAAAAATTAATAATAAAATATAAAAATATATTTATATATATATTTCAAAAAAAGATACCTTAAATAATTTTTTATTTATTAATCAAACCAAAATTATTATCAAAATATTATTTTAATTAATCAATATCATTAATAAAAATAGGTATATTATTCAATAGTACAGCCACAGCATTTCTAAATTTATTTTTAGTGGTAAATAGTACCAATTTTTCTTTTATTTTATTATCTAAAGGTTCCACATTAAAATTATTAATAATCCACGGATGTGCGCATGCCTCAGAAGCCGAAATTCTTTTTTAAGGGTCTACTTAAAGCATTGAATTTATTAATTCTTTTGCTTCTTGAGAAATATTTTCATTTATATCAAATTTCCCAATTTTAATTTTTTCAAATACTTTTTAATCTGAATTTCCATAAAATGGTGGTTATCCATTTAACAAAATATACATAATTATTCCAATAGACCAGACATCACTTTTCTCATCATATTTATTTTCTGTAATAGTTTCCGGTGGTGTATAATAAGGAGGTGAGACGATTTCTTATTTAGACTCGATTTCTTTTGAAAAATCAATTAGTTTTAAAATACTATTATTTTATTTTGTAAAAAATAATATATTTTCAGGTTTCATATGCTTATGTACTATATTAAAAATATGACAATATACAATTGCAGATAATATTTATTTCATATATTTTGATGCTATTTTTTCATTTAATGGCTATAAATTTTTTATTGTATCTAATAATTCTTAGCCTTAACAATATCTTTTTTTTTTTTTTTCGTTTTTTTTTTTTTCGGTTTTTCGGTTTTTTTTTTTTTTTAGTTTTTTACTCTGTTATTATATATCGGTATTTTTCGTCTTGAAAATGCTCAAATACTTTTACTATATATGGATGATCTATTTATTTCAATAACTGTAATTCTTTAGATAGTTATTGATTTTCTTTCCCTTTTATTTTTTTTACAGGAACCACTTTCAGTACTCGTATTTAACCTGTTTTTTTATGTGTTGCTAAACATGTACAGCCTATAAGACCTATTTATTTATTTATAAAATTTTTGTTATTAGTTTTACTTTCGCCTATTATTTTTCCAATTTAGTATTAATTTAATATATCTTAGGCTGATCTTTATTAAATAGTAATATTATCAGGATAATTATAATCGTTATTTTTGGAAATTGTTTTTAAAGTAGATTAATCATTTACAATATTATTATTTTTTATATTTTTGCATGACGTGCTTTATGCAGATTTTTCATATTTTAATTGACTTTGTTTATCTATTTCTATTTAAGTAGTTTAAACTTCTTTTTATTATATATATATATATTGTAAATTAATAAAAATAAGTAAAAAATATATTAATAATTATATATTTTAATGTTTTATTTAAATAAAAAAATATTTTTTACCATTTATTTTTTCTTCGATTGTTTTATCTAAAATCTAATTTTAAGATTAACAGCAACCCATCTTTTTAGTTTTATTGAAAAAAATAAAAAATATATATATATATATATATTTTATTTGATTATTGGTTTTATTAAAATGTTATGAAGTTTATATTAATTAAAATAAAATTATTTTAAAGAATTAAAAAAAAAAAAATATAAAACTAATAAATATTTAATATACAAAATATAAATAATTTTTATTTTATTAAATTGTCTAATATATACTTAACATTTAATTTATTTATAAAATTTCATATAAGTTAAATTTACATTAAAATAAAAAAAAAAAATGTTTAATTAATATAAATCTCTTCTTATTATTACATTAAACAATTCAAATAGTAAAAATAAGAAAAATTAAATTAATAATTTTACTTATAAAATATATAATAATTAATAATAAAATACTTAAAAATTAAATAATATATATTAATCAAATATAAATAATATAAAAAAATTAATTATAAAAATAAAAATTAATATTTCCATTAAATAACTTAAAAACTATAATCAATATAAAACAAAAAATAAGTAAAAAATTAAATCTTATAAGATAATGTTATTTAATATATATCGTAAAAGATGATGTGGCCGAGTGGTCCAAGGCGGTAGATTAAGGCTCTATTCCGAAAGGGCGCGAGTTCGAACCTCGCCATCATCAAATTTTTTATTTTTTAAATAAAAGAAAAAAAAAAAAAAAAAAAAAAAAGACAAAAAAAAAGGAAGTACAAATAAATAAAAAAATAAAAGAAAAAAAAAATATATATATTAAAAATACAAAATAAATACACTATTTATAAATTTCTAAAAAAATAAACAAAAATATACAATAAATAAAAAAATCATATTATATATTATAATTAATTTTAACTCCATTATCCTGTTGTTTATTCCTATTTATTTTTTACTGTCTTTTTATAGACTCCTGCTCCTTCTATATAATCATTTGAAAAAGCACCAAAGAAATAGGAATTGTCATAAAATTTTAATAAACCAGTTCCATGCCTTTTCCCATTTTAAAAAAATCCTTCATATTAAACCCAAGAATTCATATTTAATGAAAAATTATTATAATTTATTTAATTATTATCATGCATAATATTATATAAAACACCTCTTCCATGATATAAATTATTTACCCATTCACCTTCATAAATAAGTTTTTAATTTTTATCATATAATTTACCAACACCTTATTTTTAATCATTTTAAAATTCACCTTCATAATAACCACCGTCAGGTTCAATAAGTTTTCCTTTTCCAGATCTAATATTTATACATTTAATTTATCCTTAATAAACTTAACCGTTAGTATAATAAACTTTAGATTTAATAACTCCTCTTTCAATTTTTTCAATTTAAACTTTTTTTAATTAATTTTTATTTAAAATAAAAAAAACCTTTATGATTTTAAATTTATTGTATATCGTAATTTTTTAAATAATTTTCTATTAATTTATTTGGTTTTTATTTAATTTAATTTTATTCATATATTTTATTAAATTAGCTAAAATTTATTTATTATTAAAAGGATGACGAATCATTATGTTTCATATTATAATAATTATCTTATATATAAATATATTAATATATATTTATTAATATATATTTTTATATATTTTATTTAAATATATTTTTTTTTATTTTTTAATAAAACTCAATTAATAAAAGTTTTTTATCTTTTTATCGTTTTTTTTGTTGAGTTTTTTAATATAATTAATATATTATTTATAAATATTTAAATTTATATATATTTTAAAATAAAAGCATATTTAAATATAAATTATACTATTTTTTCCATTATAAGTTTTTTCTTAGAATTTAAATTATTATTACTATTCTAAATTAAAATTAAATATATATTTTTTAATAATCATAATTTTTACTTAAGTAGTTAATGTTTAATTATTTTAAAATAAATTTTAATTTGTGTAAGATGAATTTGGAGATTGTATATTATTTTTATGAATCGAATTATATTTATTTGAAGAATTTTGAATTTTTAAATAAAGATAGATTTCGGTTTATTTTTTTCAAATCTATTTTTTTCTGCACTAGAATTATGAGAAAATAAAATATTTCTATCTTAAATGCATTAATTTTTGTTTTATATTTAAAAATATTCATTTCTAATATTTTAAATGCTTTATTTATCCTATTAACAATTTATTTCAATTATATTTTAATTTATATTTGGATTTTATATTATATTCTAATAATTGTTATTAGTATTGTATATTATATCATCATATGATTTCCGTAAAAGTTTATAACTTTTTACTGAAATTTATTAAATTCTGGGAGATTCTATATATTTTATTATTTGTGGATTATTGATATATTATAAATTAATAAATTCATTTAAATTTGTTCCCTAAAGCGCTTTTTCTAAACATTTTATAGTTTAATTTTTAAATAGATAAAATAGTTTTTTTAATTTTTTTTTTTTAAAAAATAAATATAATATTATCAATTTAAATTGTTTATTGAAATTTAAAATAAATAATAAATTATAGTATTATATTAAATATATAAAAAATAAAAAGTTATTATTTAAATTATAAATATATATATATATATATATTATAGAGTCTATTTAATATTATATATGTAAAATTATATATAAAAACATATAAATAATCTTAAAATCAAATTAATTCATCATATTCTTCCTATACATCGCTTTAAATTTATTCAGAAGATTCATTACTTCTATTTTTACTTTTAATATCATATTAATTTGTTATCTATTTATTTAATTAATAGTATTGTTATTCAAGTAATTAGACTTTTTCATGTAACTTTTAATTTTCAATTTATAATAATTCCATCTTTTTGTTAAAAAATAAAAATATAGTTTAAAAATAAATACAAATAATTACAATCTATTAATTATTAACATCTTTCTATTTATATTACTCAAATTCATTATGTTAATAATTTAAAATATTTGATTTATAATTTTCTTTATTGTCAATTTTTTTTTAAGAATTTACTAATAAACTTTACTCTGTTTTTTATCTTTTGATTAAAAGAATTATATATATATAAATAATTAAATATGTAAATTTAAAATATAAATAAATATATATATTAAATTATATATAAATATATATTTATATATATATATATATTTATATTTTTACTCTTAAATTATCTATTTTTAATCATTTTATTTTAAATTGTTAGGAATAAAATTTTAGTATTTATTAATGAAAGTGCTTTATGTATTCTAGTTAGTTGTATTAACGGATTATTATTATTAAATACTTCCGAATTTATTTTTTTATTAAATTATAATTTATTTTTCAAATTATTAATTTTTATAAGAATGTAATTATATATTTAAATTTTAAATTTATTTAGTTTACTAATAATTATGATTTTTTAAATTTTCTTAATCTTCTTCGAATTTTGATTCCTATTCTTTTAATTAAAGTTAAAGATTTAATTCATTTTATTTTAAAGCCCCTTATAATTATATAATAGTAGCATTTTGTTCATTTATTTAGTTTTTTAAATTCTAAACCTTATTCTTAAATTAATTTTTAATATTATTTTCATTATTTATCTTTTATAATTAAAAATCGTTTAATTATTTTTCCATTTATGCCATTTAATTATTAACTTCAATCATGTTTTAACTAAAATATTATTTCATTTATAATATTTCATTATAAAAATGTTATTTAGCCTAATCATATTCTTTTTAAATGTCTTAATTTTTTTATAAAATTTAAAATTTCTCGCTTTCTAATTCTTATCTTTTTTTTAAATAAAATCAATTTTTTATTAGGCAATATTATTTTCTTATATTCTTTAATTTAATGAAATGTTTAAAAATTTATTGCTTTCTAAAATTTATATGAATTTTTATTAAAAATCATTATTATTATTATTATTATTATTATTATTATTATCAATATTTTAATTTGAATTAATTTTCCTGTCTAAAATTTTTTATATTTATTCTTCATATGCAATTTTTTATTTAAAAAGTTATAATTCTAATTCTTTTTGCATTTCTTATTTTTATTCATTATCTTAAAATTCTTTTTATTATAACTATTAATTTTTTTATTCTAGAAAATTTATATGCATTTATAATTCATTTATTTATTTATTTTATAATTGTATTTATTTTTCTTTTTATTCTAGTAGTTATTTAAATTCCTAATTATAAAAATAAATTAATAATAATTATAAAAATTTTAAATTATATACTTTAATTTAATTTTCTTAATATTTTAAATTTCATTATTATTATTCTTTTAAAATTATATATATAATAAAAATATATATAATTATATATATATATATAAAATATATATATATTTATATATATATATTTTATATATATTTTTTATATATCTATAATTTATATTAAATACCTAATTATCTTATATTTTTTATTGGTCTTGTTAATTTAATTTTTCGCTTTCATATTTTTAAATAATTTAATTTTAAATTTATTCAAAATGTGCCTTCCAAAAAAGTCTATTTTCTTCATTTTTTTCTTATATACTATTTTACTAATCCATTAAACTTTATTCCAAACTTTAATTTCTTTAAGTAATTTATTCATTAATCTAAATAATATTTATGTTTTCCTATAAAACCTTATCTATTTTTTCTTCATAAATTTATATTTATTACTAAAACATTCTTTCATATTATTATTAAGTATTTATATGATTATTATTTATGCTTTGTTAAAGTCTATTGTTTTCTAATTAAAATAATGCTAATTAATTTTCTAATTCACTAACTTTGTTTTCTGCTTTATTTAAGCGAATTAATAATACCTAGTTTTATTATTTATGCTATTTTTAACCTTTTTTATTTTAATACTTTATATATTTATATATAAATTTTTTTTAAAAAACCTTATTCTTATTAATAATTATTATTATCAAAACTACTTCTTTCGCTTTCGTTTATTATTTCCAAGCCTAAATTTTAAAATTATGGATTTCTTAGATTTTTATATATCTGCTTTTACTATTACATAATATCATTTTAATTTTATTATTAATCATAAGTAAAATCATTACTATTTTCGTACATTTCTTATTATTTTTCATACATTTAATCTTTATTTTCGTATATTTCTTCTTATTTTTCGTACATTTAATCCTTATTATGATATGAATCTTATTGATTTTCAAATTCATATTATGGATTATCGTATGTTTATTCTTTATTTTCGTAATTTTAACATTCATCCTCAATTTCATTTAATAAGATATTTTAATTCATTTTATATTTATTTTTTTAGCAATTTAAATTTGGAAAAAGTTATCTTTTATTAAATATAAATAAAAGAAAATGTATTATTAATATTCAAATATTATTTTTTAAAAAATATTATTTTTTTCTAAATTTAATTTTTTTAATATTTTATTGGACAAAATTTGATTTGAATTATGCAATTTATATATATATAGATAAATATATATATATATATATATATATATATATATATATATATATATATATATATATATATTTATATATATATATATTCACTCTCATCTTAATATTTACAAAACTAAATTAATAAAAATAATTAATTATACAATTATAAATATTCTATAAAAAATAATATAGATCATTAAATAAGCCTCAAAAATTAATATTTTTCATATTTCTTAATATAAAAAGCATTTAATATATGATTTTATATTATTTAAATGACAATATTATGTAAAATTAAAAAAAGTACCATAAAATAAGATATAAATTACAAATTAATTTTTTGTTTTCTCCAAAAAATATTTTTTTACCTAAAATATGTTTAAAATAAGATTTTGACATTAAATTTATTTTCATTTGATTAAAAATACATATATTAAAAAAAAATATTCAATATTTTAAAATATAATAAAGAAACAAAAAAATGAGAATATGAATTAACTCTTATGTGTATATATTAATAAAACTAATATTTTTTTTATAAAATACATACACTTATATATAATTTAAATTAATACCTACGATTTTTCAATAAAAATAAATTGTTAAAAAATTTCTACGTAATATTTTTTAAACTATATTTTTTCCTAAAAAAAAACCTTAAAATAATAAATTAAATTCTAACTTTAATTAAAAAATTTGAAAAAGAATTCTAATATAATATATATCGCATATTTCTATAGAAAAAATAGAAAAAAATACATCTTAAATTTTAATATATTCTTTTTTTATTATCTCAATAAAAAATAAAATAATATCTAAAATACATTAAATAACGTTTTTAATTAATATTTACTGTTTTTGAAGTTTTACAAAAGAAAAAAAAAAAAAAAAATCAAAAGTAAAAGTAAAAGTAAAAGTAAAAAAAAGAAAAAAAAAAATGATAAAAACACATAAAAAAATAATTCCAATAATTCTATTAATCCTTATATAAACAATAAAAGCCGATTTACCAATCCATTGTTTAAAAAATTAGGTAACAGGATACTGGATCCTCTAACGAGGAAAAATTGAAGCCACAAATAATGAGCGAAAAATGGTTTCATGTGGTCATTAATCTCCTGATAATGAAAATACAAGCTATAAAGCTTTAAACGGAAAATTAGATGTAGTTGAAAATGAAGAAATAATAAAAATAAATCCCGATTTTACAGTTTCTGGTGATAAAGGAACAGGTAAATGGACATTAATATATGACGAAGGTTGGGAAATAGATTATAATAATACTAAATATACCCATTTTTTCAAATATTATAATTAAAATGGTAATTATAAAACCGATTGTGATAACACACTTGTTGGTTGGTTTAATTCTTATTCAGTTTCTTAAAGAGGATGTTCTATTGCTAAAAAAAAAGACTAAATGTAAAATAATAATAACGTAAATGAAACTGCTCCTAAAAATCTTAGTATAGTATAACCCAAAAACATTGAAAAAAAGCCTTCAACAGGTATTTTTGATGATAATGATGGACTTTTTGGTTAAAAAAATACTAAAAAAAACTCCATTTATAATAATGATCTTTTTGATGAAAATAAAAGCTTTTATAATGATAATAAAGATGATCCTTTATTTAAAAAAAAAGATGATTTATTTAAAAAAAACGACGAAATATTAAATAAACACAATGACTATTCTTGGAGTTCTGAAAATAATTCTTCGTATTATTATTCATTTTCTTAACTATAATCTACTAAATCATCAAAACATTTATCCCATGAATAAATAATTACTAAATTAAACTCAATTAAAGGAAAGACCTGGAAAGCTGGCCTTTCGAAAAATTTCGAAGGCTTTTCGATGTAAAAAATGAACACTTATGCTGGTTCAAAAAGACATTAATAAAAACATCATATAAATAAAAAAGAAGTTTTCAGTTTTGCTCAGATAAACAAAAATAATGTATAATACTCTCATTTTTCACGTGAAAATCTATCTGATTTACCTAAAAATTTCGATTGGGTAAAAGATTCTCCAAGAGTAATTGAGTAAAAAGACTGTGGGAGTTGTTATGCTATAGCCACGACTAATATGTTGACTGCTAGAAATAAAATCACTAATAGAGACAATGTATAGTTCTCAGCATAGCATTCTTTAGATTGTAATTATTATAATTAAGGCTGTTAAGGTGGATATGGATTTCTTACTTCTAAATTCTTTAGTGAATTTGAACTTGTACCAGAAAGCTGTCATCCATATAGGGCCACTAATGGTTCATGCAATACATGCGATGTTGATAAATTAGAATATGTATACAGAGTTACTGATTATGGGTAAATATACATTTTATTTTATTTTATTTTATAAAAAAGATACATAGGAGGTGCTTATGGGAAATGCAGTGAGAGATTAATGATGGAAGAAATACATAAAAATGGCCCTATAGTTGTATCTTTTGAACCAGCGATGGACTTTATGTATTATCAAGAAGGTATCTATCACTCTGTAGATGCTAATGATTGGATTTTAGGTGATGAAGATAAATTACCTTAATGGGAAAAAGTAGATCATTCGGTATTATGTGTAGGTTGGGGGGAAAATGAAGATGGAAAATATTGGCTTGTTTAAAATTCTTGGGGAGAAGATTGGGGAGAAAAAGGTTATTTTAAAATAAGAAGAGGAACAGATGAAAGTAATATTGAAAGTATGGGAGAAAGGGCTTTTATTAAAAAAGAAAAAAGATAAAAAGTTTTCTTATAAAAATAATCTAAATACTGAAATAAATAAATAATATTATATTGTTTTATTTTTATTTTATATTTAAAATTATTATATTCAGTTTTTTTCTATTAGTATATTATTATGATAGTTATTAGAAAAAATCTGTATAATTGTATCTATTTGTAGAATCCGAATCAAAATTTTATATATAAAAATAGTTGTTTGTACTTTAGGATTCAAAAGTCTTTTTAGTCACATTAGGTAGTATGCTCTCAATATTATTTTTAAATTCAAATGCTTATTTAGACTTTTTAATGGGTTTTTAAAATTCAAAAAGTGATTAAGATTTACTTGATTAATTTTTAAATAAATAATAATTTTATTTTATATTATTATATTATTTTCCATCATCTATTTTATCTTTTTTATTTGTCATATGTTTAGGTGAACTTAGAAATATTTATCTTTCTAAGTTTCGGATAATTCTAGGGATATGATATTATTATTTAGTTTGATTATTATATTAAATATAAGTATCTTTTTTTATTAAGCTATTTTTTTTTATAAATTATAATAAAAATATATTTTTTTATATATACTATTTATGAAATTGCATATTTTTTTGTTAATATCGATTAATTATTTATTATAAATATGTGAACTAGAAACTTAATATAGATTAGTTGAATTATTTTAAATTATTTTTTTTGTATTAGATTTATTATTAGTTAATAAATTTTGGTTTATTATTATTTCTTTAATTTTTTTTTTTTAAATACTTCTTAATAAATTAATAAATTACTATTTTTTAATAAAATATGAAAAAAATTTATGTAAAATATATATAAAAAAATTATTATTTATTATTTGAACTAAAAAAAATATAAAATATAATTAAAAATATAATTAAAAATAAAATAAAAATAAAAAATAAAACATATTATAACAAAATAAAACAAAAAAAGAAAATATTAAAAAATAAAATAGGATAAATAAATAATATAAATATTATAAAAACTTTAAAAATTTATAATATATTATATTAAAACAATATAATTAAAAAAATATATTTGATAAACTTATATATTGAAAAAATTAAATAAATTAATTTAAATTATATAAAAAAAAAGAAGTAAATATATATATAATATAATATCTTTATAATAATAATTTTATTTATAGTTATATTTATATTTATATTTATAATTATATAATATCTTAACTTATTTATATAATTTAATTTAATTTTTATATAATGCAAATAATATTATTAATGATTTTTAAAAAATAAATTACATCATCGTTTATTATATCTTTTTCTTTTTTTTATTATAACTAATATTATCTATCATTTTTTAATCTTTTTTTTAATTATCATCAATAATATTATTATTGAAATTTTTATTATAATTAACATTATTTTTATTATTTTTAATATTATTAATTTTATTAATATTATTATTATTATTATTATTTTTATTATTATTTTTATTATTATTATTTATTATATTATCTGAATTTTTTCTTACTTTATAATATATTTATTTACTATCAATTTTATTTTTTTACATATTATGATTATTTTCTTTTTATTTATATTTATTTGTTTTTTTTTTTCATAATTTTGATATTTTATTATTTCACTTTTATTTTCCTTTTCATTTTCAATTTTATTTTCATTTATATTATCATTTTCGTTTTCTTTTTATATATAATTTTCATTCTCATTTTCATTTTATAAGTTTTCATTACTATTATATCTTATAATTTTTTTAAATAATCTTTATTAACATTATAAGGTTTACTATTATATATCGTCATTTATATTTAAATATCAGTATTTTTTTCTATAATATTTTATATTTTTTAAATAAACTTAATTTATATAAGTAACAAATTTATATTTGCTACTCTTTTTTTATTTAAATATAAATATATTAAAATTTTTAAAAATATTAAATTGTAAATTTATGAAACATTAATTAATAAAATTTTTAAAATAATAAAACAAATTAATTTATAATAAATATTTCAATATTATATAATTATTATTATTTTATTTTTATTTAATGTTTATTGATTATAATAACATAAAAAAAATTTAACTTATTAAATATCGAATTTATTTTATTTAATTTTTAGAAATAAATAAGAAATAAATAGAAAAATAAAAAATTTAATAAATAATAAATAAAAAAAATAAATTATATATATATATATATATATTTATATATATTTACTAGTTTATATTCTTTTCTT